AGTGGGGCTGGCTGTTGCCAAGTGCAATGGCATCCCAAATCCACAAAGTAGGGATCCTGAGGAGGGAAACTAAGGGGGGTTGCAGACTGTCAGAAATAGTGTGAATTCAGTCCACTTTTAGGGTTAGGGTTAAGGTTAGGGAATCATGGGGACTGTAGTTTATTGTGGCACCAGAGCTCTCTGACAAAGAAGGTTCAATGTCTCAGAAAACAAACAATTCCCATGATTCCCTAGCACTAACCCTAACCCTAAAAGTGGACTGAATTCACACTATTTTTGACAGTCTGCAACCCCCCTAAGACATCTCTAAGACACCCCCATCCTCCGCTGCTCTGCTCAGGTCCTGCAAATTCAGGCTCCTCATGCCTCTGATTGAATCTATCCATCTGGCCTGCAGCCTTCCTCTCTCTCTCCTGACCTCCTCCTTCCCTAGCATTATGATCTTTTCTAATGACTCCTATGGGATGCAGTGGCTCAAGTGGTCAAGACGCTGACTCTGTGGATTGCAAGATCGGCAGGTTGGCAGTTCAAGGCCCAGGTGCTGCATGATGAGGTGAGCTCCCGTCACTAGTCCCAGCTTCTGCCAACCCAGCAGTTCAAAAGCATGCAAATGCAAGCAGGTAAATAGGGACCACTTTGGTGGGAAGGTAACCAACATTTTGTAAAATCAGGTTGGCCCCATGATCACAGAGTAGTCTCTGACAACTCTGGCTCTTTGGCTTAGTAATGGAGATGAGCACCACTCCCCATAGTCGGACATGACTTGACAACCCTGTCAACAGGGAATACCTTTACCTTTACCTTTACCTTTATCTTTACCTTTACCTTTACCTAATGACTCCTGCCGACCTTATAATGTGGCCAAAGTATGACAGCCTCAGTTGCACTATCTTGGCTTTTCTAGTGAGTCATGTCTTCTCCTGATCTGGCCAAGACATCACAACAGCCTTAATGTAGCCATTTTTTGGCTTCTAAGGAAAGTTCAGGTCCGATTTGGGGGGGTTGCAGAGCGCCAGAAATAGTGCATATGGAGTCCACTTTTAGGGTTAGGATTAGTGCTAGGGAATCATGGGAATTGTGTTGTTGTTTTTCTGAGACATTGAGCCTTCTCTGTCAGAGAGCTCTGGTGCCACAATAAAATACAGTTCCTATGATTCCCTAGCACTAACCCTAACCCTAAAAGTGGACTCAATTTGCACTATTTCTGGAAGTCTGCAACCCCCCTTGGTCTTGTACCCCTTTGTTTCTCTTTTTAGCTGCCCATGGTATCCCCAGCGCTCTCCTCCATTGCCACATCTCAAATGAGTTGGTTTTCTTTCTATCAGCTTTCTTCACCATCCAGCTCTCGCACCCATACCTAGTGATGGGAAAGAGGATGGCATGAAGAATCCTCACTTTAGTGTCCAGGTGTATATCTTTACCCTTTAGGATCTTGTCTCCTTCTTTCAAGCTGCTCTTTCCAGTCCTCATCTTCTCCTGGCAATACACCATGATTTACAAGACAAAGAACAAGAGACAACAGTCATCTGCCCTCAGGCTTACAATCTAATGAAGACAGGAGACAAAAGGAAAAGGGGATGGCAGTAGTGGAAGAGGGGAGACTTCTATTAATCCTGCAGCCAGTCTGTTATCCTGTGTTTGTCATGCTGATCCTTACTTATCACAGGGTTTCCTTGGCAAGATTTAATCAAAGGAGGTTGGCCATCGCCTTTCTCTTGAGGATGAGAGAGTGTGATTTGCCCAAGGTCATCCAGGGGGTTTCCATGCCTAAGGGAGGATTTGAGCCTGGCCTCCCAGTGACCTTGATCAATGCTCAAACAACCCTCATTGTTGTTGATATGTGCCTTCCAGTTGACTCTGACTTATCTATTGTTGTTGTGTGCCTTCAAGTCATTTCCGACTTCTGGTGACTCAGTCTAAGGTGAACCTATCATGTCATTTTCTTGGCATGTTTCTTCAGAGGAGGTTTGCCATTGCCATCCTCTGAGGCTGAGAAAGTGTGACTTGCTCAGGGTCAGGATTTGATCAAGCCAGGATTTGAACCCTGGTCTCCAGAGTCCAGAGTCCTAGCCCAGCACTCAAACCACAATAGCATGCTGGCTCTCTATCCTATCCCAGGCTTTTCTTGATGAGATTATTCATAGAGGGTTTGCCATCATTCTACAAAAGCTTAATCTGCCAACTTCTTTTTTGTCTCTCTCAGTTAATCTCAAAGCTGCTACAATACCCTTTTGCTGCAATACTCCCTTTAGATACTGATCTAGACTGAC